TTTTAGTGTACTGTTTTTTTTGAGAATATTTTGTTTTTGGTGTATTTTGTTTTGTTTTTAGTGCATTTTGTTTTGTTTTTCGTGTATTTTAATAAATGCGAAAGGTTAGATGGATGGATGTTTGTTAGAGTTTGCCGCCTAAGCTAATTACCGGATCTCGATTAAATTTGACATAGATATATATGATCTTGTAGATCACTTACTTTTTATAAATTCCACACGAATGGAGTCGCGGGCAAAATCTAGTATGTTTATATAACTACTAATTTTTGTCCGCGTCTCCGTCCACAAGGAATTAAAAGAAAATTAAAACAACAATCTATGTGTTCTTCCAGACTATCCCCTACATATATGACATACATCGACATCCATTCGGCCTATGCTACAAATTCTAGCAAACATCCATCCATATAATCTTTCGCATTTATGTTATTAGTAAGATAGATTTTATAACCGACTAGCTGACCCCGTGCGACTTCATCCGCGTAAAATTATGAAAATTTTATTATATTGTTTACATGTGTCAAATTATCAATAGCAAATTTCAAAATGACATGACATGACAAACGATGGCAACCTTGCTTCCTTGATAGCAGCAACTTATGGTCTCTTGCCCACATTAGGGTTTTTATCCAAAATGTTTACCCCCTAAGTTTAATGGCGTGTAAACATATAGCCTAAAGCGTTACGTAAGTGTAGGGTTTTTTATTAAAAAAGAATTATTGAAAAATATGTTGTAATTGCTTACATCTTAGGCAACAAAGAAGTGTGTGTTTACGCTTTATTATATTAGTATAGATATAGATTATTTTTGTTAATCGCCTTAGTTGTACCTGTATTATTAGAACTTGACGACCAACAGCAGGATTTTCTAATTAGATTCTGGAAGGTGTCGTTGGAGCGCAGCGTGTAGGAGCCGTACACCAGCGGGTTCATGCAGGAGTTGGAGACGGCCATCGCGAACAGCAAATCCTGAAGCTGCGGCGACACGCGCGACGCCGACTGCCTGTCTATCATGTACCTAGGAAACCAACTAGTTATTATCCTATCAGCATTGAAATCATACCGAGGGCCTGTCCCACCAAATTGTGAATTGTCTGATAACAATCAAGCAATGTAAAATATGCAATGGAAATATCGGATTTTGTACCCTTATCTAACAGTGACGTCATTTTTAGCTACCCGAGTCACTATCAGCCAGTGTTGGGACAGGCTCTAAATATTATAAAAGCGTAAATTTAGATGGATGGATGTTTGTTAGATTGTTGCCTAAACGGTTAAACAGATCTCGATGAATGGTATAGATGTAGAGGATAGTCTGGAAGAACACATAGGCTACGCGTTTTTGTTTTTTTTTTTAATCTCACGCAGACGTAGTCGCGGGTGAAAGTTAGTTATCAAATATTTTCCACGCTAACACTTCATTTATTTTAATTACTTATATAGTAAATATATAAGTACGCGACACATCGGGCGTGAAGTCAAAGATTAATTTAGTACGAATATTCTTTGATTTTAACATTTCATGTTCCAAAATAAGGTGACCTTCAAGTAAATTGTTCGATTATTTTTGTTATTGAGCAGTTTGATTGAACGATTCGTTTATTATTCTGTTTCTTACGAGAAAATTGGGCTGGATTTTTAACCTATTTGATATTTGTACATGTAGTGATATTTCCTGCCCTTTCCTCTGACTGACAGAGTGTATTTAATATTTTTCCCTCGCATTTTCTTGTGGATATGTTCTAAAATAAGAAATTGTTACATAAATTTCATTTTTTTAATGTCTGTTTTAAAAAACAGCTAATAGATGGAGCAATTCACCTATTTAGAGCCTCGATCGTGTTTTTTCAGTTCATTTCAGTGTACGGCCGGTTGTACATTAAATGTGAACAGGGTAACCAGGAGTATGTGTCTTATGTCCATTTGTCTTACCACATAGCCATGACAGCGTAGGGTAGCCAGCAGAGAGCGAACACGGAGACTATGATGACGGTCATGCGCAGCGTTCGTTGTCGGGCTCTCTCCAGCAACCGGTGATCGGAGCGTCGCAAACGCACGCCCGGGGTACACTCTCTCTTGTGCACGCAGTTTTCTAACAAAAATAAAGGAAATAGAATATCTCGGTGGTTTGAGATGCACGTGTCATTGACCATACAAATTACTGTGTGCTGGAAAAATCGATTGACACATAGAGTGGGCCCACAAGGTGTGAGTAAATACGCACGACTGTTGTGCGATTGTCTATTGTTTCGCAGCCAATTCAACTGTTTGGTTGCACAAAATAGAGTATCGCAACAAAATCAAATCCCAACTAAACAGTTGTGCGATAGTTTAGTCAAAGTGTGCGCACGCTTACAGGTCTTAGTCAGAAAAAGTGTTACCATTGAGTTCGTTACTGCAGCGTCGTATCCTGCAGAAGATGCAGATATAGCAAACGGTGATAATGAGTAGCGGCACGAAGTACATCGCGCAAAGACAGCTCACGTTGTACGCAATCTCTTGGCCGACGGTTTCAAACGCATCGAAGGACACGCACTGCTCGAAGCCCGGCACCTGAGGGTGCTGGAGGACTCGGAACACAGCGCTCTGCGCACGGAATATCCATCTATACTAATATTATAGAGAGGGCTGATTTCAATAATTCTTTGTCGATTGTTTAGCAGCCAATTTAACTGTTTAGTTGCACAATTAAAAATAAAGTGTCCGCACCTAAATGTAAGCTCATAGGAATCAAAGTGAGATAAAACAGTTGTGAGACAGTTTAGTTTCAAATGTGCACGCGCACTAAATCTATACTCATGTTATTAAGCGGGAAGATTGGGATATTTGTATGTATTGAAATACCTCAAAAACTACTGGGTCGATTTTAAAAATTCTTTCACCATTAAAAAGCTACGATATCTGTGAGTAACATAGGTTATATTTTTTTAAATTTCAAGCGGGCGTAGTCGCAAACAGCTAATCTATACAAATGTTATAAAGAGAAAAGGATTGTATTTTTTTTTGTATTGAAATAACTCAAAAACTACTGGGCCGATTTTAAAAATTGTTTCACCGTTAGAAAGATAATTTGTCTGTGAGTAACATAGGCTATATTTTTTTTTAATTTCACGCGGGCGAAGTCGCGAGTAATAAATATTTATGTCCGTGATTTGATCACCGGTATGGAAGACTGTAAACTAGACATTAGTAAACAATAACAATTTTGTTTATTAACTTTATTTAAATGTTTATTATTTATTGAATTGGTAATACAGTTGTTAGATTTGCTATGGACAGCGTCTTCAAAGAGAGCATTAGTTTGTTATCACGCTTCAATATTCAAAGCTGTTAACAAAGCTTCAATATCAAAACGGAGCCCTATTGTAACTAACTATACCAATATTGTTCCCATATTAATCTACTTGTTTGAAACCACGTCCACTTATAGTAGATATAATAATGATAAATTATGAAAATTTTACGTTATTTTTTACATTGACATGACAAACCTTAGCAATCTTGCTTTCTTGATGTTGGCAGTAACTTGTGGTCTCTTTCCCACATTAGGGTTTTTATCCAAAACATTTACCCTCTAAGTTTAATGGCGTGAAAACATATAGCCTAAAGCGTGACGTAAGTGTAGGGCTTTTTATTAAAAAACTACTATTCAAAAATATGCTATAATTGCTGACATCTTAGACAACAAAGAAATGTGTGTTTACGCTTTATTATAATAGTATAGATAACGACTTCAAATGAAAATATTTTCAATAAAATATACTAAACATTAACAAAATATCATTAATACTCTCTAAAAGCAAAAACTCTCTTCTTTCTTGTATTATGTTTATATACATGTATATATATACGATTCTTGTTGTTTCGGAGACTCTACGACACACAACACCATTTGAATAAAGAAATAAATATAAAAATTGAACAGCCGGGAACAGAGTTACGAGATAACAAAATAAACCTAAAGAAAAATTTACAAACTTCCCCTTTCTGAAGTCGGTTAAAAATACATAACTATTATTCTTTTGCGAAATTATAGAAATAACATAAAAAAATGTAATTTCTGGTAAAGTACAAATATGACAAATTCTCTTCAATAAGGTAGTAAAATCATACAATGGTTAGTTAGAAGGGAAAGCAGTGCTTTTATTGACCGACTTCCCAAAGGAAGGAGGTACTCAATTCGTCTGTATATTTTTTTTTATGTGTGTTACGGCATAACTCCGCCGCTAGTGGACCGATTTTGATAATACATTTTTTATCCGAAAGGTAATGCTTGCAGGTGGGTCCCATTTTTTTGTTTGATTTTTGGAGTCAAAGACTACGACGTAGTTAAATAGTTTTAATTTGCCCGAATAGGGGTATACCTGCGGTAAGCTACACGCCAGCGCCATCGCCCACGCCCAGTAAAGCATATGCTGACTCCGTTTGCGAGCCACTCGCAACTTCAGAGGGTACAGCACAGCGAAAAACCTAAGTAAGAAATATTTTAATGCCATAACTCATGGAAACAATTTTAATAGAAAGTATTGTTAAAACTTTTTCATTAAAATTTAATTAATTTAAAGACAAATTGAAAACAAAATTGGGGCGAGAGTGATCAATATTAAATTTTTTGCAATTCAATTAAAACGACAAAGTTTGATACAATCTTACTATAGTCTTACTAATATTTAGTTAGTGTTAATATTGTTAAACTAATATTATTACTTAGTGCGAAAGTTTAGATGGATGGATGTTTGTTAGAGTTTGTAACCTAAACGACTGAACGGATCTGGATGAAATTTGGCATAGACCTTAAGCATAGTCTACTTTCTCTTGTTTTTTAATTCCACGCGGACGGAGTCGCTGACAAAAGCTATATACCAATAAATACTATTGGTATAAATTTATCTTTCACTAGCTTTCGCCCGCGAATCCGTTCGCGTGGAATTAAAAAAACAAAAGTGAGTAGTCTATATGTTCTTCCAAACTATCCTCTACGTATATACCAAATTGTATAGAGGTCCGTTGAGTCCATTAAGCTACAAATTCTAACAAACAAACATCCATCTAAACTTTCGCATTTATAATATTAGTAAGATGTACTACATGTTGCATTTACGTCAAGTTGAAATATTATACCTGTCAAGAGAAATGCAGACGAGCACGTTGGAAGACAGATAGAGACCAAAGGCTCGCATTACAAGCAGAATCTTACACAACGCGTTGCCCACCAGCCACTCGTTCGTGTATTTCCATCCGATCTGTACAAATTGAATACAAGTAACTAATAATAAAACTAAACCATAACAACCTTACCATTAAAAACAAAATGTTTCAATTATAGATTTAAGATAATCTTTTCAAGCGTTGGTCAAAGAGTAAAATATGTATACAGCCCAAGAAATGGTATACTGGCCACCAAGAATTATGCCTATTTCATTATAAAAAAGTTACAGTGAAAAACAGAAAAGCGCGGGAAGTGATTACAGATTTGAAGAAATAATAGTATAAACTTGTACATCTTACTTATATTATAAATGCGAAAGTTTAGATTGATGGATCTACATATGTTAGCGTTTGTAGTCTAAACAGCTGAACGGATCTCGATGTATGTCATATATGTAGAGGTTAGTCTGGAAGAACACATAGGCTAATCACTTTTGTTTCTTTATTACCTTCCAGATGGAGTCGCGGGTGGCGGCTAGTACTTAAATAAAGATGTTATGTTTGATATAAAAGTGTATTTTTGGCTGCCGCGCTGTCGGTAACAAGTTAAACAAGATAGTATTACAGTCTTCTATAGCCCGTTAGAGGTTTCAGTAAATTATTATCGTACCATTTTTAACGTTCTTGAACATAAATCTTCTTGTTAAGATTATTTATATCTATACATATAATAAAATTGGAGTGTCTGTTTGTAAGATAATGTATTTGCGTTGCTAATAACGAAAATCGCATTTAAAATTTTTTGTCTGTCTGTCTGTTTGCAAACCGCATTTGTTCCGGGTAATCTCCGAAACAGCTGGGCCGATTTCGACCGGACTTTCACTGAAGGGTAGCTTACATAAACTGGCATATTTACTACTTTTTTATCTTAATAATGCGTGGACGAAGTCGCGGGCAACAGCTAGTAAAAATATTATAGCGTATCACTTTAACGTTTCATCTGATTTCTTTCGGGGTACTATATCACGTGGCACAAAATCCATATAACCATCACGTGTCAACGTACCGTTCTCTGACGCAAAGCCCTCTGTGAAAATATATTACATTATTTTTTGATAGAGATTTTTAAATTCTACTTATTAAGGTAAATGTACTAGTAACTAATTTCTTAGTATCATTTGATTACTTCTTACAATGCTAGTAGAAACATTTTTTACAAGCCTTTTAAGGTAAGTAAATTAGTCCTTCAGGTAACTTATCTTGATCCCATTATATTTAAAACTAGCTATTGCCCGCGACTTCGCTAGCGTGAAATTAAACAAATAGCAAAAAACATAGCCTCAGTTATTCAGTGATAAATAGCCTTTTCATGGTGAAATAATTGTTTAAATCGACTCAGTAGTTTTTAAGTTATTTCAATACGTGCTAAAATACAAATCATTCCTCTTCATAATAGTACAGATATAGATAGGCCTTTTAATATTTAAAATTTGCTCTCAACTTCTTAAACTGTACCAGTAATTGATAGGCGTTAGATTTTGCTTTGTATTTTGTGATTATTTCCGGCAGTTCCCTTTACGTCAATACACGAAAGTCGTGATATTTGATTCATCATCATCATCTTTCTCCTTATCCAACTCCTCCACATAACTCTGTACGTCATCTCAGTCATCACTCCCTTCTTGATCATGTCACCTTTCACGCAATCCATCCATCTTCTAGGTCTACCTCTACCGATGTACTTCCTCACTCATAACTAACGTTCTACTTGTAAAATGCGATTCCTTCTCATAACATGCCCCGTGCTAACCTTTTACTCCTTATCTACTACTGGGGCTACTCTAAAACTTCCTCGAATATACTCGTTTTGTATTAAGTCATGTTGTTTGATTAGCAAAGATAATGCAACTGTTATACCGCTGCGTGCTATACTGTGAAACCGCAACGCTTATTGGTTTCTCTGGGGGTAACATTTGATTACGTATAATACAACGATCTCGGACGTTATTACATAGACTTATTAACTTGCGTGACTGGTATACACGTAGAGTATATTCATAAACAAAAATTACTTCCTATTATAATATACAAAAATAAAATACAATAAAAATACAGTAACAGGTAACTAATATTTTTTGTTTTTTTACTTTTTGTATTTTCTTTTACTGCTGCACCTTATGGGCACCTCTGAACTGTCGCAACGTTACCCTCCGGGGCTGAAAACCAGCTCCGCATGGCTTAAGTCATGAGGTCCACTCTGAGTCTGCAGCCTATTGTTGTCGATGTAACCTTTTTTTTTACTTAGCTCATAAAAAACTGTTTTTGTGACAAGAATAAAAATCCTTTTATTTTAATCTAGCTGTTCCCGTGCGGCTTCATCCGCATGAAATAGTGAATTTTTTTATTGTTTACATTTGTCAAATTATCAATTGCAAATATTATCAACAGCAAATGTCAAAATGACAGGATAAACCTAGGCAATCTTGCTTCCTTGATGTTGGCAGCAACTTACGGACTCTTTCACACATTAGGGTTTTTATCCCCTTTTATGTACCCCCTAAGTTTAATGGCGTGAAAATATATAGCCTAAAGCGTGACGTAAATGTAAGGCTTATTATTAAAAATATAATCGTTCAAAAATATGCTGTAATTGCTGACATCTTAGGCAACAAAGAAGTGTGTGTGTTTACGCTTTATTATAATAGTATAGATAATTTTAATTAATTCCGAATAACTTAAAAAAAGACGGAAAAGTACTTTCTTGTAACTATACCTGACTATACTACCTCCATCGTAGGGCGTAACTATTAGAATTTATCGGATTACATTGCGGTCAAGTGAAGTACAAACTCCGAACTACTCTAGAGATTATCTAGGCTTAAAACTAATATGGAAGTTAACTTAGCTATTCTAAAAGCGTGCATTTCAGGCAACACACACATAAGCCACATGTATGTGTTACCTTCGTTTTTTTTATAAAATAACGTGAAAAAAATTTCTTTTGCTTAACTTTGAGTTTTTAATTGAAAAAAATCACCTACAGTTTACAAAAATAATCCGGAAAAAAATAATTTCGCGACGAGATTATGTGATGACTTCTCGTATTATAAAATCACTTGTGGCCCGCGACAAGGTCCGCGCGGAATTTTAAAAAAAAACTTAATTATTACTATTATTTAAATTGAAGTTTGAGAGTAGCCCCAGTGGTTGAGAAAATAAGGAGTAAAATGTTAGAGTGGTATGGGCATGTTATGAGAAGGGATTAATCGCATGTAACAAGACGGACGTTAGTTATGAATGTGGAGGGAAACATACCCCTCCACATTCATAACTAACGTAGTAGCGGTAGAGGTAGACATAGAAAGAGATGGATGGATTGCGTGAAAGGTGACATGATCAAGAAGGGATTGATGACTGAGATGACGCACGTACGACCCTACGGGAGTAGAATAAGGCAGGGGAGATGATTATTACTTTTAAATAAATCTGAAATACTATTAGATAGGTTACCTCTAATGGTATAACACCGCAAGTGACTGACACATCAGCGATAGCTAGATGCGTCATGAGAAGGTCGACCCTGGACTTCCTTCGTCTCGTTCTGGCAAGGCTGACCAGCACCGCCAGGTTGCCAAGCGCGCCGATAGTCATAAGCACCCAGTAAGTTACGATTACCGCATGCTGGTCACGCGCTAAAGACTCTTCTGTACTCTTGTTAACAGGAACTAGAGAAGTTACCGTATACAGGGTGTTGTTTATATTTGATTTTGTTGACATTTTTGTAGTTGGTGTTTTTATCTGTTTTAATATTAGTTACTAGTTTTTTAGTTGGTTTATTTTCATTTTTTTTTAATTAGTGTAGTTGAAATTGTTGTGGATATTTTGGCTACAGTTTTTAAAATATCTCAGTAACTTGATAAATAGAAATTTTTAGTTATTATTAATAATAAATTAAAGTTAAGTATATAAACAAAAGGAATTTCAATCACATCACATGTTTTTCATTTTTTTAATTCACTGTCACTAATTACAGATGAAATAATTTATTATTTGATATTATTTTGTTTTTATTTACAAATAAACGATAAAGGTAAACTAACTTTTGTGGAGACGTAATTTTTCTCGACACGAAAGCGCTACGCACGTCAGCTCTACGCGCGGATGTAGAAGAGACTGCCTACGCGGGCGCTACGCCGTAGCAATAAGCTAAAAGCAAAGCACAAACATCCGATGTGTTAAAAATACACGCTACGGGTTTGATAGCTATAGAATTTGAATTTTGTTAGTCCAACTTTAAAATGTAAATTACATACAATTATTGTATTCTGTACATTAACTTATTTGATATAATCTTACTAATGTTATAAATGCAAAAGTTTAAATGAATGAATTGAAGTTTGTTAGAGTTTGTAGCCTAAACTGCTGAACGGATCTAGATGAAATTTGGCGTAAATGTAGAACATAGTCTGGAAGAACACATAGGCTACTTTCTTTTGTTTGTATTTAATAAAAAAGGTTCGATTATTATAAAAAGACATTCAGTTTTTTTTTTTTATATATAACAAGGTGGCAAACGAGCAAGCGACCACCAGAAACCGCCAAAATGGCGAAGCGACCGCTGCCCATAGACATCCGCAATTTCAGATGCGTTGCTTACCCTTAAACAACGGAGGAGGAAACGCACATATAGAGGATATTTCCCCTTCCTACGGATCTCCTCCACTGTCAAATCCACTTACTCTTCCCAACCTCTTCTTATAAGAAAAGGGTGGTAAAGAGAAAGGGACTTAAATTAGGCCTCCGGCACCACACTCATCAGACGAAACACGGAATTGCTCCCATTTCACGCCTGTCTTCTGTGTGGTTGTGGTATTACACCGGGTGTGCCGGCCCATTCGTGCTAAGATGTTAAAGCGGGCACTACCACTGTTAAGGTATGATAAGATAATAAGAAAGTTGTAATAATTTTATGACTTTTCTAAAGGAGATACGAAATATGAGGTATACTCGTACTTGTCCCCAATGAGCCAAGTTTGTTAGTCTATAAGAAAATTATGAAAACGTCAAACCCTTATCAAAATTTCACGTGTTTTTCTCTCAGTGACATATTGTTAGAATTATGATTTATTCAACCCGCTGGCGAAATATTCCATTAGCCAAAAAGTAGATCACGGCAGGGAGTCGAAGACTGTTTGCGTCTCATTTAATTGGGAAAAAGGATGTACGTATTCATTACGATACCTTACCAATATCATTAATGTTTCTACGTACCAGAATGGATCAACAGATCTCGATGAAATTTTGCCTAGATGTAAAATAATCTGCAAATACATAGGCTATGTATTTTAAATTCCACGCGGACGGAGTCGAAGGTGAAACTAGCATTACTTAAAAAAAGCTAATTTAATTATAATAAAGAATTTCGGAGCAATAACAATACTCAGATGGGATTATAAGGATATTTTTTATAAATGAAACGGCGAATTTCCAAGAAAACTCTATGAGGCAATTTGAATAAGGTTTCGTGTTTATATATAACTAGCTGTTCGCGTGCGGATTCATCCGCATGGAATTATAAAAACTTTATTTTATTATTCACATTTGTCAAATTATCAATAGCAAGTGTCAAAATGACATGACATGACAAACCTTAGCAATCTTTCTTTCTTGATGTTGGCAACAACTTATGGTCTTTTTCCCACATTAGGGTTTTTATGTAAAATAGTTACACCCTAAGTTTAATGACGTGAAAATATATAGCCTAAAGCGTGACTTAAGTGTAGGGCTTTTTATTAAAAAAGGAATTATTCAAAAATATGCTGTATTTGTTGACATCTTAGGCAACAAAGAAGTGTGTGTTTACGCTTTATTATAATAGTATAGATGATTAAGTGAACTGTAAGATTCTCTTATATAAAAGAGTAAATAGAATTAGTAATCTATATAATAATATTTTCATTTTTGTATTGAAATAACTCAAAAACCAGTGGGCCGATTTCAAAAAATCATTCACCAGTCAAAAGCTACATTATCGTTGAGAGATAGGAGTCGCGAGCAACAGTTAGTGTCTTATAAAAAGGGATTCCATTAAAATTGTAGGAATGTTTGAATTGTAAATAATAAATAAATAAACATAAAATTATAGCCCCCAGATAACTGAAGTCTACAAAATAAGCTTTGTGATTACAATAACAATTTACAATTAACAATTTATTTATTCACTTTATTTACCTATACTAAATAAATAACAGAGAAAAATGTTGTAAATTTACGTTAATAAACAGATATCGTAGCCATCAATTTATACTAATACTAAAAAGAGATTTGTATTTTTGTATGTACCGAAATAACTCAAAATATACTGGGCCGTTATTAAAAAATCTTTTACCGTTAAAGAGGTAATTTATCTGTAAGTAAAATAGGCTATGTTTTTTTATTATTTTCTTAATTTCGCTCGAACAGCTTTTAGCTAGCAACAGCTAGTTAATGATAATTCAAAAGTTTATTTCAAAGACAGATTCCGAGATAGGTAATTGTGATATGTTTTATTTTTCAAAAGTTTTAAAACTCAAGAGCATTATGAGGCACCATTAAAATTATATTTGAGTTTCTGTTACGTCAAACTTTTGGTATATTAAGATTACAAATATTTATTTTAAATACTAACAATGTCACTATAATAAATTTGTTGATCCAAGCCTCAGTGGATATTCGAAATGCATCGTATATCACGTCGGTAGCGTCTCTGTGGAAGTCAGCCATTGTTTAGAACTAAATGACACTGAGTTATATATATTTGACTAAGTCTAAACTAAACGGGACCATTTAACAACTGAAATGCAGATGGAATGTCTACTTACAGCCGGTTTCTCAGCTACTTTTAACCATTCGTGATAGTTTTTGCTTCCATTACTTAAGTAATCTATTATAATGAAGCGTAAACACACACTTCTTTGTTGCCTAAGATGTCAGCAATTACAGCAAATTTTTGAATAATTCTTTTTTAAGAAAAAGCCCTACACTCACGTCACAATTTAGGCTATATATTTTCACGCCATTAAACTTAGGGGGTAAATATTTTGGATAAAAACCCTAATGTGTGAAAGAGACCATAAGTTGCTGCCAACATTAAGGAAGCAAGGTTATTATGGTAACGGTAATTTTGACATTTGCAATTGAGAATGTGACAAATGTAAACAATAAGATAAAGTATTTATAATTTCATGGGGATGAAATCGCACGGGAACAGCTAGTGTATAAAATAAATGGAAACTCAGTAACCCAGCATTAGAAAGCTTTTTTTTAGTAACAAATAATGTAATTTTCTTTATTTATTTCCGTCAACTTAGACTGGAATACAAAATACATTAAAGATTTAATACGAATTTAAATGTCATAAAAGTTCCTCGATATGAACTCGACTGCAATTATAAAGTTTTGCTTCTACTAACGTATCCAAATTGTACGGAAGTTCCTGAAAATAGTTCTATAACTGAATATTCAGTTTAGATGCAATCGATTTTTTCCTTATAAATTCGACGTGACTCGGCCCGCATGGCAATAAAAAAGCAAAAGCAAGTAGTTTATGAGTTTTTCTACCATCCCCTACATCTATACCAAATACCAAATTTAATAGAGATTTCAGCAGTTTAGGCAACAAACTCTAAAAAACATGCATTCATCTGAATTTTCTCATTTATATTCTATCATACTAATATTATAAATGTAAAAGTTTGGATGGATGGATAAATGAATGGATGGATGTTTGTTGGAGCTTGTAGCCTAAACGGGTGAACGGATCTAGATGAAATTTGGCATAGACGTAAAGGATAGTCTGGAAGACCACATAGGCTACTTTCTTTAGTTTTTATTAATACCAAGCGGACGGAGTCGCGTGCGGAAGCTAATAATTTATAATAATAATAGTTATAATAAATGAAAAATAAAATGAAAAACTATTAAAATATTTGGATTTGGCTCACGAGATTACCGCCATGTGCCGTATGAAATCGACTACCATTATTCCGATAGTCGTTTCGGCACACGGACTGATAGCGAAGAGCTTCGACCAACACCTCAAGAAGCTCTCGCTAGACAGTTGGATTAAGGTCCCAAATTAAAGGCGGTTATTTTAGAAAC